TGCACATTTGCCTGTGGGGGCTTCATGATTTTACACTCCCGAGGAGGAGGCTGTGTGGCCACCCAGGACAAGAGTGTAACGGCCATTTATGGTCCCCTGCAGCCAGGATCCTGGGGAGGTTATAGGATGTGAACATGAGGGTGTCTTTATGTGGCCAGGTAGGCTGATGAAGTAGCTCAAAGGTGAAGACTAGGGTGATCCACTGGTGGTCACAGCCAGAAGGCTGGTAGAGGCAGTGTGGGGTCTGGTGACACATGTGGGGGCCTCAATAGGCCAGTTGCGTGGTAAGCTATCACGTTTGGGGGTCTGCATAGTGTCCTTTAACCTGCACGGTCCAGCAAGGCACACTGCTGTCACGGAAGTCACCTGACCTGATCACAGATGTGAAAGAACTTTGCCCAGGACACAAATCTGAAAGTTGCAAAGCCACATTTCGAACATACATCATCTATAATAATAAAAGGGTAAAATGCTAATTAGACCAGATGTCTTCTGGGCATCATTCCTTCCTGACCTAGATGGGACCAGAGGGAAGCCAGCCCGGGTCCCAGGTGCTGGTAGGCAGCCAGAGGAGGGAAGCAGCCTGGGTCCCCAGTGCCAGCCAGCGGCCGGAGGAGGGAAGCCCAGGTCCCGGGTGCCAGAGGGAAGCTGGTGCCAGCAGCCAGAGAAGGAAGGCCTATTCTTGCATGAATTTTCATGCACTCGGCTTCTAGTTTTAATATAAGTTTCTTGCTTTTGACACTAAACTGCTACCTTAGAGTGGATTGTCCCCAAAACAAACCAAGGAACTCATTGAGGAGAGGATCTCAAGAAACTCAATGAAGAGATTTCTAGTGCTGGTCAGGGCTGTGGGCAACTGGGGTAGGGAACCCTCTGAGAAACCCTGGCATGGTCCCACCAGAGGAGGGGAGACTGGGACACTTACCCACTAGACCCTCTCCCCTTGGTTCAGCAGCCACGGAGGGCTGAGTCTGACAGGGGCTGGGCACACCATAGGGGCATTGCCTCAGCTTCCTACCTGGAAGACACACTTCGCATCTGCTAGCTCAGAGCCCTGGAGGCTCTGAGCCAGGCTCCCTTCACCGCCAATCTAGAGAAGTGATCTAGGGTCCACATGGGCAGGGTGCCAGGAGCTGGCCTTGCCAGGAGGTGCCCTGGAGTGGAGAAGCAGCTTGCACTCCTCCTCTGAGGACCTGGAGGACTGTACCCTGGCCTGTTTTTTCCTGGTGTGAGGCTGGCAGAGCATATGCTGCCGCTGGACCAGGAGCAGCAGAAGCTGCACAGTCTCAGGAGGCCCACCCCTGCCGCACCCACTGAGGGCTTCGCTCTTAGGAATAACTGTGCTGTGCGTCATTTTGCAGCATCAGCATCCAGTCCTTGGCCCTGGGACAGTCCCCTACAGTTTCTTTCCTCAAACTCAAGGATGATGACTAACTTCCTGGTTTTACTCTTGAAGGTGTGGGTGGCCCTCCTTGCTCAGGCCTGGTTTGTGATCCTCCTATCACTTTAAGTATTTTTTAAAATAACAGACTTGCAATTATTGAAATGTTTGTTTTGAAGAATTAGCTGTACACACGTGGGGAAGGAAGGAAGTCCTGCCTTGTGAGGGCTGCTGCCCACGGGTTCCTGCTGCCTGAGGCTCAGTGAGGCTTTCTGTGAGGAGAATGTCAGCTGCAGCGGCCATGACTTGTCATACACCCTGAGCAAGGATTGCTGGGAAGGTGGTATCTTCCCAAACTCAGGTGTCTGCAGGCCTCACTGCTGGGAGGGGCTGTACAAATAGGGCCTCATGATTAGAAATCATTCTCCACACTACAGTGCATGATGCTGGCACACAGCTCACTGAGAAGTAACCGCCCCATCTGGGTGGGGGCTCTGACATGGCCATGGGCTTCCCAGGAACTCACAAGCCATAATTCCATATGCCTCCCAGCCATTGAGAGCACGTTGATTTTGCAGACTTATCTTCCCACATATCAGTGAACTTTCTTCTCTGCAATGTGGTTCCTCAGACATTTAACCCATGTAGTCTTTCCATCACATTTTTACTTGTCCCCAAGATGTGAAGAAATATATTGGGATACTATTTTTTCCAAAAACAGTGCTGACTCCCAAGGCCCACAGGTGTTGTCCCAACCTCACCCCAACCCCCTGAGATCTGCCTCCAGCCTCTGAGTGACCATGTTGGTGTCAGAGATTATATTTCTTCCTGGCAACAGCAAGACATTCCCTGAGCTTTCATCTTTCAGGGTTCCTACAAAATTGTAGAACTGCGTCTCTTCTGCCTTTCCATTGTCAGTCATTTCCCTAGAGTTGTGGACATGGAGGAGAGTGGAAGGGGCTCTATTAATAAGTACACCGGAGTGATGGGCACTGACTTGGGTGCTCTTGGGCCAACTGGCATATATGGCCTCCTGGGTACAAGACTGGAACCATGTCAAGTTCTCCCCAGAAGTCCCTCCTCACACCTGGCATTGGCCAAGGAGCCAAGATGGGCCCAGAGTTCTCTCCAGTTGGAAACAAAGCAGCTAGTCTCCCCTACTTGTCTGAGAGGTTCTCCCAGGGCACTTCAGCCCTGACATGGGGTGGAAGAGCATTCTTAGTCCCTTACCACAACTCCCTTTTTCTCCTCCCAGTTTTCCTGTTACTCATGGGAACACTTCATTCAGTCCTTTGTATATTCAACAAATACTAATGATTTCTAATAATGGACCAGACACCATTACTGACACAAAGCACATAGTTAATAAGACAGACAAGTGCCCTAGCCCAATGGAGTTGGCATGTAGGTGATAAGATCATACGTGCATTTTAATTTGCATCTCTCTGATGATTAGTGATGTTGAACATCTTTTCATGTGTCTATTGGCCATTTTTCTTTTCTCTTTGGAAAAGTGTCGATTCAGATCCTTTGCCCATTTTTTTTTTTAAAATTGTGTTGTTTGTCTTCTTGGTGTTGAGTTGCATAAGTTTTTTTAAAAATATATTTTATTGATTTTTTACAGAGAGGAAAGGAGAGGGATAGAGAGTTAGAAACATCAATGAGAGAGAAACATCGATCAGCAGCCTCCTGCACACTCCCAACTAGGGATGTGCCCACAACCAAGGTACATGCCCTTGACCGGAATCGAACCTGGGACCCTTCATTCTGCAGGCTGACTCTCTATCCACTGAGCCAAACCAGTTAGGGCGAGTTGTATAAGTTTTTTATATTTTTTTGGAAATGAACCCATTATCAAATGTATCATATTCACCTGCAGTGGGGTGAGTTTTTATTTGGTTGATGCTTTCTTCTGCTGTACAAAAGTTTATATCACCTCATGCCTGTCAGAATGGCCATCATCAACAAATCAACAAACAACAAGTGTGGCACGTGTGGAAGGCAACCAATAGATGTTTCTCTCTTAAAAAAAACCATTTTTTAAAATGGAACTATCTTTTGACCAAGTGATCCCACTTCTGGGAATATCTCTGAAACACAAAACACTAATTTAAAGGAATGTATGCACCCCTGTGTTCATTGCAGCATTATTTACAGTAGCCCAAATCTGGAAACAGCCCAAGTACTGTAGAGGAGTGGGTAAAAGGCTGTGATACATTTACATCTTGGAATACTACTTGGCCATAAAAATTAAGAAAGTCTTAGCATTTGTGACAGCATGGATGCACCTGGAAATTATTACTCTAAGTGAAATAAGCCAGTCAGAAAAAGACAAATACCATAAGATCACACTTATATGTGGAAACCAATCAACAAAATAATTTAACAAACAAAATAGAAACTGAAGCATAGATACACAGGACAGACTGACAGCTGTCAGTGGGGAGGGACTTGGTGAAAAAAGGTAAAGGGATTAAGCAAGAAAAAAATATAGAGATATGACACATAGATACAGACAACAGTATGGTGATAGGGCAGCTGGAGCAGAGTCAAAGGGGCAGGGGCAGGGGCAGGGGCAGGGGTGGGTCATGCTCAAGGATTCGGTTACTACTCTGGGTGTGATGAAGCCATTGGAGAGTTCTGACAGGGGAGTGCTATGACCACACTACACCTTTGACCCTGATGTTGGCCGGTGGACATTTCACTCCTCGGGTGAGAACAGAGGCAGGGAGACCAGGGAGGCGCTATGGCAGTACTCTGGGGAGAGATTTAACAGTGGATTTCAGAGAACAGAACTGAAGCCCATGGTTGTGAATTTACATGGAGGCACATTTTGACAGAGAAGGAGTAGTATTTTTTAACATTTAGGGCTGACCGACAATATCGGGCTTGAAGGGTAATGATTCCCTTCCATGCCATTGCTGAGGCCGAGTCTGATCCCGTCAGATCTGGGAAGCCACAGGCCTCCCAGGTCCCTCCGGCCCACGAGTCAGTCCCCTGCGTTGGACATAGTGCAGGTTTCAGCACCCACCATGGGCCACAGGCACACGTCTCAGCTGCTGAAAGTACCCCCCAGTGGTTAAGAACAGACACATCGGGCTTGTAACTTGATGATGTGATTTTGGGTAAGTCTTGTCATCTCTCAGGGTCTCTGTTTTTTGCATAAGAAGTAAAGATTAATGGCCACTCAAGGGTTGTTGTGAGGATTAAAAGATTAATCAGGTACTTCCCTTAGCTTATCAACATGGAATAAACTCTGGATATTGCTTGTGTAAAACTCCTGAAAGGTGTGAACGAGGTGTGGCTCTGTCAGTGACATGTCACACCTCTGTCCCCAAGGCGGTCCCAAGGAATTTTTGATTACAAAGCACTGGCCTCATCCGTGTTTCTTCACCATTGTTCCCTGGCTTCTGACCAGCTTTTGTCTCACTGGGACCCCAGAACGGCCACACCTGTGTTGCCTCCCAGTCACCCAGTGACACTCACAGGACCTCTGTGCCAGACCAGCCTTCTTGACAACGTGGGCACACCCAGACCAGGAAATGACCCAGATCTTAAATGCTATTAGAAGGCTGGGAGTCCTAATCTGTTTTCTTGAGGAGCCCTTGCATGTGGTGGAGCCTATGGTTGTGTTGGTCCAGGGACAAGAGCATCTCTTTGAGCAAAGGTAACTTCTGAGGCTCAGAAGCCATGTGGTGGGCAGCTCTCTCAGGGCCCTGTGTCTAGCCTTGAGGAGCCTCTGGGGCTGAGGGGCCCGGGGTCAAAAGCTCCGGGCATCAGAGGAGCTGGGCTGCTTCCACGAGTGTGGGTGGCTGCCTACTCCCTCTCTAGGGATAACTGTAGAATCAGGCACCGGGGGTCCTGAGGCAAGGAGGGTGGTGAACAACTGCTTCTCACTGTGGGGAGTCTGTGGTCTTCTCAGGGAGCTGACTGCTGCCCGGACCAGAAGCCCAGAGATATGTTTCCTGTGACCTGGAGCCTGTGGATGTCCACAGCAGGGTCCTTAGAGATGCCTGTTTGGGTGGGGAACAGGGGAGCTGGGGGCAGAGAGACAGGCTTGCTGCCACTTACTTAGGATGCTCAGACTTGAAGTCAGGAGAACTGGTGACTTACCAGCTGTGCAGGACTAAACAGAGATGAACACACCCTCTCTAAACCCAGAAACTCATCCTTAGAAGGTGCCTGGGGGTACTCTGGAACCTCCTAGCAACCCCAGATGTGGTAGGTAGAGAGTACCCCAGGCCCATCACTGCCTGGAGAGCCAGGACCAAACAGTCCCGAAAGAGATGGGAGCTTCCACTTGAGGTTGTCTGGCCAGGGAACATGCTCTTCCCATCCTCAGTCTCACATGTGCAGCTGGGACAGGATCTCAGGGCAGCTTCCTCCAAACAAGTTTTCCATCCATTTCCAGGGGAAGGGCAGGGCAATGAATAATGTGTTTTTCTTCCCTCCTTCCTTCACAAGGCCAGATGATGACAACCTCCTCGCCACCATCTGATCTGCCTTATGCTCTTCACAGAAAACCTAAAGACAAGGCGGAAACCCCACTAAGTAAGTGGCAAATTACAAACCAGCATGGCGGTCTCCACTGGGCCTCACCAAGGACAATAGGGCACCAGGTTCTCTCATTTGCTCAGCTACAGATGTATTTGCTAAAATACTCACATCATGAAAGCTGCACTTGAAAATCTCAGAGCATTTAGTTCTCATCTTATGTGTGTTTAGAATTGTTTACTTATTTTGATAAAGAGGGCAAAGAAAAAGACAAAAAACATACTGATGACCAATTTTAACATTTTTGTGGTTTTTTTTTGTACTCAGAGACTGTCAATCAAAAAAGGACAAGTTATTCACAGCCCTTGAAAATCTTTGTGGACCATGATTTCAGATGCTTTGATTCACAAACCAGCCCCTGTCTTAGGTCCCCTCCCTTTCTCCTTAAAGCCACTCTTAGAACAGTAAATCTACCCTAGAAATTTATAAGCTAGAACTGTGGCTCCCACCCCCCAATCTCAGAGAGATATGTTTTGAGATCCTCAGCAGATGCCTGAACCCACAGATAGTACCAAACCCCTTATACATATATTAAGTTTTTTCCTACACATCACATCAGCACTTTACAGCTGCTCTTTGACACATCCAAATTGCCAGCATCACTACTCTTAAGCTTTGAGGTCATTGTTAAGTAAAATAAGGGTGGCTGAAACACAAGCACTGTGATACCACAAGAGTAGATCTGATAACTCAGACGGTTATTGAGTGATTCCTGGGTGGGGACTGTATAAAGTGAGGACACGCTGGACAAAGGGACAAATCACATCCCGGGTGGGATGGAGTGGGTGATGTGAGGTCCCATCACAACTTTAGAAAGGTATGCATTTTAAAACTTAAGAATTATTTATTTCTGCAATTTTCCTTTTAATATTTTCTGACCACAGTTGACTGTGGGTAACTGAAATCGAGGGAAGTAAAACAGTGAATAGGAAGGGGAGGGTGGGGAAACCACTGTATTACAGGATGCAGCCCAAGTCCTGAATGTTGACAGTAACCTCCCATGTGCTTTGTGCTTTCCCCCCGTCACCTGGCAGGGGTGGGACATCCAGGAACCTTTAGTATTCGTGATACTCTACAGATGGTGTGGGTGCTGGAGGGAGAGTCTTTAATTGCAGTTCCTTCTAGCAACAATGTCAAACCTGGTGAGTGACAATGTTTGCCTCTTAAAGGGATACCACCTCCACTGGGGATGGGGCTGACCTTGTAAGAGCTCAGCTGTGGCCTCTCCTACTTCTGGGTACCAGCTCATGTCCACAGGAGGGCAAGAAGGACAAGGCGGTTCCCTCCTGCAAAGGAAACCCTGTACCTAGAAATGAGGAGTGAGGGATAGGCAGTTCTCCTTGACCAAAGAAAATGTCTTCGAGGAGATGGGGTTGTCCATTCAGTCAGCACCCAACCTTTTCCTCAGAGCTTCTCTCCCTTAAATTTCATCCATTGCTATCCATGTCCTCAGATTAAATTACTTCACCTTCCACCACCAAACCTGCACACTCTTCTGACTTGGTGTCCTCTCTTCTAGTAACAGGAGAATATGTCTTCCTCCTATCAAGGGTCAACCATGCTTCATGAGGCTGTGGGAAGAAGTCAGTGCAACTCAGCTCTTTCCCTCCCCTAGGATTCAGTGTTTGATCCCATCCCTCTGTCCCCTGCATATCCCACCTTTGTCTATCTATTGGGTCTTTTCTGTCACTGACAAACATGCTCTGATATAATATTTCCAAGCTTAATACTAAAAAGCTCTTCTTGATGCTCACATTTCATTCCTACCATCGTTCTGTTTTCCTATATACAACACACCATGCTATATGCCAACCAGAGGCCAGTGTGATGAGCCCATATTGCCTTATGAATCTCAAGGTTATGCCAAATGTCACCTAAGTGAAGGAAGCCACATGATATATTGAAGGAGCTCAGTCCTAGCCCGTTTGGCTCAGTGGATAGAGAGTCCGTGTACTCACTGAAGGTTTCCAGGTTCGATTCAGGTCAAGGGCATGTACCGCAGTTGCAGGCTCGATCTCCGGCCTTGGTCAGGGCATGTGTGGGAGGCACACAATCTGTGTCTCTCTTATATCAATGTTTCTCTATCTGTGTCTCTCCTCCCTCCCACCCTCTCTAAAAATCAATGGGAAAATACCCTTGGGTGAGAATTAACAAAAAAAGGTGCTCCTTCCAGCTGAGTGAGCGCCCCTTAAAGGTCATTCTTGGAAATCCCACACTACACTTCCACTTAGAGCTCATGGGCTACAACTTAAGGTCTGGTCAAAGTTCGCTGCAAGTGTGGTGGCGAATTTTATTTTTATTTTGGGGAAACTGGGCTCTGATAGGAAGGAAGGAAAAAGGAAATGGGTTTCCACCACCCATCTCTGATGGAGCAGTTCTACCCCCTGGCTAATTGGGGGAGCCTTCTGGGCAGACCTGGCTGGTCAGCATGGGGCTGGGAGGAGCAACAGAGTGTTGACGACAGGACCGGCCTTGCTGCCTCCTGGAGCTGATGCCTGTCCCCATTTCCCTATTTCCAGCTACTATTTTCTCAGTGCCATGCACAGACCCCGACATCTCTAATGAAAAAGGCAGTCCAATATATCTGGGAGTCAAGGAAGATCTCTGTCTGTTCTGTGCAGAAATTGAGGGCCGGCCTACTTTGCAGCTTAAGGTGAGTGGTTGTGCAGCTAATGAGAGAAGTACTGTGACTTTTAATTTAATTTAATATATTACTGAGTAAAAACAACATTTTTCAACCCTAGATTATTCATTGTTAGGAAAATTGACCTAGATAGTCCCCAAATCAATACCTGCTCCCTTTGGAATGGGTGCAACACTTACTTTAATGTCAGAGCATCCTCTGAATGCCAGAAAGGACACCACAAAGGCATTTCAGGAAGGCCAGGACTGCAGCTTCTCCATTCCTCGTCCTCTTCGACTGCCTCCCAGAAACCCTCTGAGATGTGGGGCACTCCCATGTGAGCTCAGGCCACTGCACACAGAGCAGGGAAGGGCAGGTTGTGAGTCTGGATGCTGCAGATTTCATGTCAGTGGTCCCTGCACTGAAAGCAGCATTTACAGTCATGAAGCTCATCCTTCTGCTGTGACAGACGCTGCAATGTGCAAACCCACTGGAGACTGTGAATCTCGTGAGAATGATCTGAACCTGTGGATGGATGCCTAGCAGGAGCACCCATGACACAATGAGCCCCACTCTGTTCTGGGAAAGATGGTGTTGTCTCAAAGAATCAGAAGTGCCTGGTTTTGTGGGATCTCAGGGGCAGCCAAGCTATTGGGAACCGAAGCGTTGCCTGTGCTGACACCTGGCATCCTCCTCTCATCAGCCATGCTCCTCCCTGTTGGGAAAGCAATCACTGCTGAGGCTGAGTTAGTTGAGCTCCCTCCTCCCAGTAATCCTCTCTGATAGGCCTCTTTCTGCTCCTAGAAGGAAAGCATAATGAAACTGTACAAGGAGAAGAAGGCGCAGAAGTCCTTTCTCTTTCTGCGTGGCATAGAGGGCTCCACCTCCACCTTCCAGTCCGTCGCCTGCCTCGGCTGGTTCATCGCCACTTCCTCGCAGGTGGGACAGCCTGTCACCCTCACCAACGACAGGGGCAAAACTTACAACACCAACTTCTATTTCAGTTCTTTGCAGCCTGAGCTGGGGGTGGCTGATTCTGGGACAGAGAACCTATAGGTCATGGTAAGAGACCACTGCACACTGCTGTCCATCCACAGCCCACCTCATGCTCAGCACCCAAAGCCACCTCCTCTAGACATGCACTGGCACAACACTCCTCCCACTGGAATGTTGTTCCAGTATCAAACCCTAGAGTCACTTTTTATTGTTTCCTGATCTTGTCCTATTCTCCACTTTGCTCTCAAGTCTAGTTAAGTCCACATCACACATGCTCCTTGTAGACAACCATCTCCTATTCCTCCCGCCAACCCATGGCCTAAAGATGTGAATTGCAAACATTTTTTTTCTTACCACTCTTTCAATATAAATACTATTTATTAATTTTATGCATGTTCTTTATAAATATTGGAAACTTACTCCCAAAGAAAAATGTAAAGGATAGGATAAATATGAAATAAAAATTTTACATGTTCATACTCATTATGAATTCGTAATACCATCCTATCCAATAAAAGGGAAACTTGGTAATTAGCCGTACATCCGCTACCCTTCCCATTGGCTAATCAGGGCGATATGCAAATTAACTGCCAACCACGATGGCGGCCAGCAGCCAGGCAGCTTGAAGCTAACATGAGGCTTGCTTGCTTCAGTGACGGAGGAAACCAACATTCCCTGCCTGCCTTGCTGGCCTCTGAGCTTGAAGTTTGAAACATTGTTACAAATATAGTAGCTAAACAAAACCCCAGAAACCTGCTTTCAGCCAGCCGGGATCTCAGAGCTGGAGTTGATACAATGTTTCGATTATAGAACCCAAACAAACCAGATACCTGCTTTCAGCAGCAGAGGCCTCAGAGCTGGAGCCAGAGCTAAAACTGGCCCAGAATAAAAAAGAAAAAAAAGAAAAAAAGGACCAGTTGGGAGCTTCAGTCACCTGCCAGCCTGAAAACAGCCCTCAGCCCCTCACCCAGACTGGCCAGGCACCCCAGTGGGGACCCCCACCCTGATCCAGGACACCCTTCAGGGCAAACCAGCCAGCGCCCACCCATGCACCAGGCCTCTATCCTATATAGTAAAAGGGTAATATGCCTCCCAGCACTGGGATCAGCGGAGCCGAAAGGCCTCCCGGCACCAGGATCAGCATGACAGGGGGCAGAGCCCAAACCCCCTGATAGCCCTGCGGCTCTGTGTGTGACAGGGGGCGGGGCCACAACCTCCCTATCCACCCTGCTCTGTTCGTGACAGGGGAAGGCGCTCCAACCCCCTGATCACCCCTGCTCTGTGACTGATAGGGGGGGAGCTCCCCAACCCCCTGATCACCCTGCAGCTCTGTGTGTGACAGGGTATGGCTCCCCAACCCTGCCATGGGCCCTCTCTGTGTGTGATGGAATAGAGCCATAACCTCCCCATTGGCCCTGCCCTGAGTGTGACAGTGGCGGTGCCCCAACCCCCTGATCGGCCCTGCTCTGTGTGTGACAGGGGGCGATGCCCCAACTCCCCTATCAGCCCTACTCTGTGAGTGACAGGGGGGAGCTCCTCAACCCCCTGATCGGCCCTGCTCTGTGCTTGACAGGGTACAGAGCCCCAACCCCCTGATTGGCCCTGCTCTGTGCGTGTCAGGGGGTGGCGCCGCAACCTCCCTATTGACCCTGCCTTGAGTGTGACAGGGGGCGGTGCCCCAACCCCCCAATCGGCCCTACCCTGAGCGTGACTGAGGGTGGCATCGCAACCTCCCAATCTCCCCTGCTCTGTGCATGACAGGGGAAGGTGCCCCAACTCCCCAATCGACCCTGCTCTGAGTCTGACCAGGGGCTGCACCTAGGGATTGGGCCTGCTCTCTGCCACCCAGTAGCAGGCCTAAGCCAGCAGGTTGTTATCTCCCGAGGGGTCCCAGATTGCGAGAGTGCACAGGCTGGGCTGAGGGACCCCCCCCCCCCCCGAGTGCACAAATTTTTGTGCACCGGGACTCTAGTCTATATTATAAAAAGCCAGTGACGGCAACGCTGCAATGACCAAATGACTGGTCACCAGGAGGTGCATTGATGGCTCTCATGGCGTGGTAGGTCTGGGTCTTGCATGATTTCGCTCACTGGGCCTCTAGTTAGTTAATAATTTGACACATAGTATATATTTTGGTTAAAGGTGAATTGTTAACATATGAATGCAAATTAACAATATAAATGCAAATCAATCCATGTTTCAAAGAATCACTTATATCAGTTGGAATTATTTTTCCAGCAAGGTCTTGAAACTCATTGTATTGTCTTTGTTGTTACTTTTTAAAGTGTCTGGAAGTAGGTCAGCCATGACACTTTCTTGTTATTTTTTGGAATTTTACTAAAACCTTCAATCACAGTTTCTTTATTGGGATGTTTTTAAGTCCATTGTCCATTTTGTGAGGGTGACTTTAGTTAAAGCCTGCAATGAAATTCATGACACCCATCACATATAAGTTGCAATTTACTATAATATCCTGGACATGAATGTGCGTGTAATGGGCTCTCCTCTCAGGAGACCCTGCCCTTCTTTGTACATGACAAGTGTGATCATTGATAACTAAGTTTGCATTTCTCAGCCAAGCATAATCTGTTCCAAGACCTGTCCTTCTGGCATTACCTCCTGTTGCTTCACTGCTCAGGATTGTTGGGGATAACCCTTGAACCTCACCTTACATCCTGCTACCCTCCTTTTCCTCAGTCACTGCTGTGCTTTGAGAAGTCATCTCTGCTGCAGCAGCTATCTCTCTCTGCCTGCTCTGGGATGCCTAGGTATGTGGGCTGATGCTCTAATCACTGAGCAACACCGGCCAGGGCTCTTGTGGCCCTCTTTAATGTCCGTTCTCCTCTGACAGAAACTGCCAAAGAGGGAGAAGAGTGCTTTCCCACTCTTCATGTTCCCCTCTGTTACACACCTGGCCTCCTTCCCCGCCCTCACCCATCGACCTAGTGCAAGGGAGACCACACATCCTGGTGCACACCTATCGTCCTTCCCCTCTCACAGGTGCCACACTTGGTGATAAATTATGTGCTCATCCTACTTATTAGAACCTGGGGTGGTGTGGCCCAGCTGCTTCTTACCTGCCTTCCGCTGGGAGCCGACGGAACTGAAGAAAGTGTGCATCGTGCTCTGCTCCTCTGCGACCCAGGTTCTCAAGGCTCATCCTTGCACGAGGAGGCTGTGACAGCCCCGCTGCCTGTCACTGGGTGTGAGCGAGTCTCATGGTCTTACTCTGTGCTTCACTGGTTTGCAGAAAAGAATCCACACTCTCCAATATCAGCTTTATCAATGGTAAACTTACCATTCAACAATAAACATTAGGCTTTGTCTTTTAAAAAACAATTTATCTTTATCATTGAAAGTATTACAGATGTCCCCCTTTGGTCCCCTTCCCCCAAGACTTTGTCTTAATCCTCAATTGGTTCATAACTCAAGTGGGAAAGACGGTGTATTTATTACCCCTCCTCTTAAACAACTAAAATGGACAAAAAACTGTTTTTGCTTCACTGCCAAGGTCATTGGTATCAATGGGTGTCCCACTCCAGAGAGACCTTGCATTGGGGCCAGCCTGAAAGGGCAACACTGGTGAAGGGGAGGCTGGACATAAGCCAGGCAGCCACACGAACACTGAGCACGCATCTGGAATATCATGACATCTGCTTGGATCTGCTGTCAGGGTCAACTGTCAAGGTCCCATGACTGATTCTCACCTGTCCCTGCCCCCTCCGCCTAAACCACCAGGAAGAGCTCCGCAGGTCAGCAGCGTCAGGTTGCCATAAGGGAGACTGTTGCCAAGAGGGTGTTTCACCAGACAAAGGAAGAGAGAGTTATTGTCAGAACTGGGGCAACAGTAATGTTTAGGCACAATTTAAAGCAGTGTTTCAATGGGCCCAAAGCAGAGGGGATGTGTGGAAAGGGGTGGTGTCAGGTCAGAGTGTGAAAGGACCCAGGTCTGTTCTCTGAAGGCACAAAGCAAGGTAGACATAGAAGGCTGTGCCCAGACCGAGGCCTGGACCTGTGCTCAGGGTGGAATCAAGGCTGCTCTTATGTGTCCATGGGACTCACATTCTTCAGCCAAAAATGAATGTTTCATTTTTGCTGATATAATTCAAACACCACATTTCAGAGAGTCCATGGTTTTAAAGAACAAAGTCTCTTAGAAACTGAGAAAGTAGCAGACACTCAAAGAAGGGAGATGTTGTGGCGCGTCTGGCCCGTTCTTGGGAGAAGCCTCGCTTCCTGTTCATGTGCTGCTGGCTGTGTCTGTGTCTTGCCAACTAGCCCATGAACGGCTGGGAGGGTTTATGCTCTCACTGCCCACGACGTCTCTCAGTGGAGCTCTCCTCTTATTCCCGAGTGGAACATGAAGCTCAGGAAGACCTAAGGGGCCTGGGAGAGCACACACATGGAAAGCAGACCCACCAGCAGTCATGGGCTCTCTCAGCCTGCAAGACCAGGGAAGGACCCCAAGGCATTTCCAATCACCAGCTCCTTGGACTCAACCACAGGGAGGCGAGCATCACAAAAGGTGAGTGGGTCCACGTGCTTAGAACTTGCCTTGTCCCTGCCCTGGATGAGCACCTCCCTGTCCCACTCAGGACAGCAAGCGACAAGTAGGGGGATGGCATTGTCCTCTCTCAGAGCTCAGTGTCTCCGGGCCTGTCTGCTCCCAGAGGGCCCAAGGCCACTTCAGAGCCAAATTCTTTCGATGCCCATCTTCTCTGTCTCTAGCCCTGCTGTGAGGAGCACATACAGTCCCAGCAATCCACTGCCCAGTGAGAAGCATCCATCCCTTCGATGCTGGCACAGGTCAAAGGCACAGCAGAGCTTGGGCTCAGAGGGCCAGACCCTGGTGTGGATCAGCGTCTTCGGCTCCCGGGGACATGGACCCCTGTGCTCTGAATGGCTCAGGGTTGGCTTCTGAGCCTTTAGCCACAAAAGCATGTGGAAGCTCCTCTTTCTGGAAAGTGGCTTCCTGGTGGGGCTTTGGGTGGGGCAGTGACCGTGCAGCACAGGTCAGACTCCTTAGAACTACTCAAGGAAGAAATTCCCAACAGTAAACACAAAGGTAGGAAATGACAGGGAGGATTTGTAGGGCCGTCCTGAGTCAGGTCCTGGGCCCTGTGCTGTCTGGTCCTGGCAGCTGCCTGGGGCCAGGGGTGGAGGGGGGCAGGGGAGAGGGAGTGATCTGAGGGCTGGATGAAGGTGTCTGGTGAAGGTGTTCCACCTTCTGGTCCTGGCTCCTCGGGGCTCTTGAAGGCGGACTCAGCCCTCAGCTAGGGATCCAGAAGAGAGAGGCATGTTCTCCAGGGCAGAAGCCTGGCCTGCAGCTTTCCACATCCCCAGTGCCTGGAAAGTGTGGGGTGTCCTGGAGGTTTATGAAGATAGAGGCTCCAGCATTCCCTCCACCAGCAGAGATTAAATGGAGTGTGGGTGCCATCCTGGGAAGCAGTGAATGGAGATTCCCACCCCACTCAGAGCACTGCTATGCTCAGGGTCGGTGGGAGAGAACCCCCAAGGTTCTGGTGACTCCACGTGGAGAAGCCTGAGGTGGGCAGAATGCTTGGACCATGGCGTTTTGCTCCAAGGGATCAGTGGGTTAAGTGATGAGACATTCAACCTGGAAAGAGTTTGGGCACAACGCAGGCCCCTTGGGGGCGCTTGGTGACAGGAGAGGCAAGTAACACTGGTGGTCACACACTGCTCAACAGCTACACACCCACCTCCTGAAATCAGAGGGACCAGCATGCCCCAGAGAGTGCGGATCCTCACCACAGCCCCTAAGAACTCTGCCTCTCCTCTCCTCGAGTTTTGTCCCCAACATCTGGCCTGGTATCAAGAAGGGGACACCTTCCTCAGAGCCAAAACAACATCCCTCAAACCCCCACCCCACATTCTGAGAAAAATGACATCAAAGTTGTGCCACTTGGACTGGGAACCAGATAGATACCCAGTGGAAAAGGCGAGTATATGCAGAAAACCGAAAATAAAATGATAGGATAAGCCCAAATATGCTAATAATCCCCAAACAAGAAAATGGATTAAATTTATTATTCAAAGTGGCACACTTTTAAAAAGCACATGTGAAGACACACTCTTAATTCTTATGCTGAAATAACAGGAGTGAGACTAAACTGTTCCCAGCAAACTGGGACATATTAAAATGATGACAGTGGTTGGTAGGGATTAGGGGTTGGGTGGAGGCCCGATTTGGCTATAAAGGGGGACTTGTATGATGGAATATTTCTGTATTAAGATTGCATGGAGGTTGTACAAAACTACAGGGTGGTAGCATTGCAAACAAACCTGTGTGTGTGTGTGTGTGTGTGTGTGTGTGTGTGTGTGTGTGTGTGAATAAAGAGGTCAGTTTTCCAAAAAGACATAATAATCTCAAATGTGTGTGCTCCTAATAGCAGGTCTTCAGAATGCAGCAAAAACTGATTCTGATGGGATTGAAAGGAAAAAGAGACTTGCCTCCAATGGTAGTTGGAGAATTCAACACTCCTTTCTTCATGATTGCTAGAACAAGTAGACAGAAAATCAGATATAAAAGACCTGAAAAACACTGTCAACCAACTTGACCTAATTGACATTTATAGAACAGTCCACTCCCAAACAGCTGAATACACTTTCTTTTTCAGTACACACAGTATATTCACCAAGGTAGATCATATTCTGGGCAGTAAAACTAATCTCAATAAATCTCAACAGAATGGAGATGACACAAAGTGTATTCTCAGGCCGTAAGTGAATTAACTAGAAATCAATAACATTTCAAAGCTTACTACAAAGGTGTAGTAACCAAAAATGCCGCGGTACTGTCGTATATAAACATATAGGCCAGTGGAATAGAATACAGGGCCCTGAAATAAACCCACACATATGGTCAAATGATTTTCAAAAGAGTGTCAAGACCATTCAATAGGAAAAGGACAATCTTTTCAACAAACAGTATTGGGAAAACTGGCTATCAACATGTAAAAGAATAAAGTTGGACCCTTACCTAACACCATTTACAAAAATTAACTCAACATGGATCAAAGACCAGAATGTAAGAGCCACCCCATAAGACTTTTAGAAGAAGACATAGGGGAAGAGCTTCGTGTCATGGGATTTGGCAATGATTTCTTGGATATGACACCAAAGGACAATAAAAATAATTTTTGGACTACATCAAAATAAAAAATTCTGTACATCAAAAGACACTATTAAATTTCTTTTACATGAAAGAATGAAAAAGTTTCCACTGATGGGGCGTCTTTTTTATATCTGATAAGAGGTTAATATCCAGAATATATAAAGAATTCCTATAACTTAGCAACAACAAAATAACCATATTCAAAAACCGGCAAAGGGCTTGAATAGTCCTTTGAATTTCAACAAAGAAGATATACAAATGGCCAATAAAAACTTGAATCAGTGCTCAACACACAAGTCATTAGGGAAATGCAAATCAAAACCACAATGAGACACAATCTCAACTTGTCAGGATGGGTATTAAAAACAACAAAACAAAAAAAAATAAGCATTGTTGAGAATGTGGAAAAAATGGGGCCCTTGTACATGGTTGGTGAGATTGTAAAATATAGTCACTGTGGAAAGCAGTGTAATGGTTCTTAAAAATATTACAAATAGAATTACTATATGATCTGGCAATCCCAATTCTGGGTATATATACCCCAAAATATAGAAAGCAGGAACTCAAACAGATATTAGAATATCTATGCTCATATCAGCATGACTCACAACAGCTAAAAGGTAGAGGCAACTCAAGTATCCATCAATAAATAAAAGGAGAAAAAAAGAAACGAAAACAAAGAAAATAAGTACATAAAAAAAGGGAAAATAAGGTGTGGTCTATCCATACAATGGAATATTATTCAGCCTTAAAGAGGAAAAAAATTCCCATACATGCTACCTGGCTACCACGTGGGTGAGGACACTTTGTTGAGTGAAAAAAGCTAGTCACACGTACACCCAAGGCTGAATTATTCCACTTATATGAGGTACTTAGAGTAGTAGAATTCAGAGACAGAGGTGGAATGGTGGGTGCCAGGGACTGGGCTCAGAGGTTCAGTTTTGCAAGATAAAAGCTTCTGGAGATGGATGGTGGTGATGGTTGCACAACAGTGTGAATGTACTTAATACCACTGAACTCTATGGTTAAGACGGCAAATAATGTTATGTTTATTTTACTCCAAATATCCTATATAATAAAAGCCCAGAGACCACAATGGCAGAACGACCAGAACGACTGCTCAACCAGTCACTATGAGGTGCACTGACCACCTCTTGGTCTCTTTCCCTGGCTGGCAGGCTCCCATCGCCAATGACGAATGGG